TTTCTTCTTCTGCAAATTGAAACTTGAATGGATTGCATTACTTCAACCAATAGACAAAACAAAGACAAATACTATTTCACAGTGTTAAAGAATACACAGCTTAGCAGAATTGGCAGCAACCGAACAAATTTACTTTCAACCAAAAGACAAAACAAAGACTTTGATGATGGCTCTCGTTCTAGAGGTGTATAGTCGGGTCGATCGGGTGATGGCTTTGGGTGAGGTGATGGCTCTCGAATTGGAGGAAGTGGATGCTGCTCATCATCCGTGCCATCAAAAAAACTCTGACTAGCTTGCCACCAATCAGTGGCAAGCTCTTCCTCCGTGGGTGTCAGTCTTTGTAATGGAATGTTGGCCTCCTAACAATATAAAAACTCAAACAAAGTTAAACGTCTACTATTAATAACTTGTTTATATATTATATGAAAGTATTTGTGTTAACTTACATTATTTATTGTCGCATATGGTATTAAGTCTTCCCAATCCAACAGATTTTTCCTCTTCCAGGAAATAGCCCTGGGAATATCATTTGACGTTTTTATTGCATATGTACGCATGCTGGGGAAAGCCTCGAATATCCAAATCTACAAACAATATAATAACAAAATTAGTAATTGTTAAATAATTAATTATAATTTTAGAAACATTATATAGAAATTCTTACCTTAAAGGCCCAAACAAAGCCTGACAAAGTGTATTTCGACCCATCGCCACGCAAACTTTTGCGGTCATCAAAGGCAGTAGACAACTTAGTCCAGGTAGCTTTCCATATATACGAACCCCATGGAAACAGATTCCATGCATTCAGGTCCTCTACCAATATTATTAGCTCCCGAGGAATAGGTTGTCTGGCCTCTCTGCCTAAAAAGCCGGCATACACAAGTAGTAGAAGGCATACTCGGACAACATCGACGTCATCCATCCGAGTGAAACCAGCTTTCTTATTAAACAATTTCTTCAGGTCGTCGACGTGTAGGTTCGGCTTCTCCATTGACTCATCCGGAAAAACCCGGGATAACCATGATGGGCGGGCGATATGACAAGTGTACCGGCCTACATCATCGTGTCCGAATCGTAGACCAGTGATTAAGCAGAACTCCTTCCGCCCAAAACAAGTATACGCTGGTGGAAAATGAAACCATATCTCTTCCTCACCACGTTGTATACTGTCGGGTAGATTTGATGTCATGGTCTGAAGCCACAAATGGGTCAAATTAGCATCTCCACCCGGATGCTGTACTCTCAGCCATGGCCCGAAGCAGGTTTCCTCAAACAATTGTCTTTGTGCAGGTGAAAGCTTCGAAGCAATTGTAGTGGCTAGGCTAACTTTATTCCTTAATGTCAATGAAGCCGAAAAAAATTTCTACAAAAACAATAAACATACCAAGTTAGATATACCAAAAACTACACTGAAGATATACCAAAAACAATAAACATAAAAAGTAGTAGTTTATTCTTGAAACTAAAATTTGCAACACTGTTTTGTCTTTTGGTTGAAATGAAAATCGCAACGAGAGAATGACTGTCGCAACGAGAGAAATGAAAATCGCAACGAGAGAATCGCAACGCGAAATGAAAATCGCAACGAGAGAATCGCAACGCGAAATGAAAATCGCAATGCGATTTTGGTTTCGCGTTGCGATTCTCTCGTTGCGATTTTCATTTCGCGTTGCGATTCTCTCGTTGCGATTTTCATTTTTCTCGTTGCAGATAGTCATTTTCACGTTGCGATTTTCATTTATCTCGTTGCGACTCTTCTGCAAATTGAAACTTGAATGGATTGCATTACTTCAACCAAAAGACAGAACAAAGACAAAGACAAATACTAACTTGAAAATCGCAACGAGAGAATAGCAACGCGAAATGAAAATCGCAACGAGAGAATCGTAACGCGAAATGAAATCTAAGTGAAATGGTTAATTTATTATTGAAATGACCAGTAAACTTATCATCAGTTTCAATATGAAAAACCTACAATAATGCAAAAATTTCAAAATAAAAATAATTAAAAAAACTAACCCTCGGAGGTTGATTTTACATTTATGAATATTGTGAGGGATTTCTGACCGTGAATGGTTGTGAGGGATTTCGCCGGAGATGGGGACGGAAATCTTCGGAGATGGGGACGGATTTCGCCGTAGAGAGTGAGAGATGGAGATGGGACTGAGTTGTGATTTTAGGTTTTAGGTTATGAGTTGCGATTACGGGATTTTGTCTTAATATTCGTTTTTGTAATTTGAAAATAAAATACGCGTAGCGATTATAATGGCGCTTTAAAAATCGCGTTGCGATTTACGGATACGCGTTGCGATATACGGATACGCATTGCGATTTACGGATACGCGTTGCGATTTACGGATACACGTTGCGATTTACAGATACGCGTTGCGATTTATGTGTTCGCGTTGCGATTTTCATATTCGCGTTGCGATTCTGGAAAATCGCAATGCGAATTTGTACTATCGCATTGCGATTGTCAAGAATCGCGTTGCGATTTTGAAAACTGATTTGCGATTCTGGGGATCGCGTTGCGATTTTTATTACGCGTTGCGATTTTGTTGGTCATTTTGGCAAATCCAAAAAAAGTTGGTTAAAATCGTATATTATAAGGCATTTTTGGTCACTGAGACGATTTTCTCTATTTAAAATATTTAATAAAAAAAACTTTTAAAGAACTTATTTTTTTTTCTTTTTGAAAGTTCGATACATTGAAGGTTTAAATATACCAAAGGTTCCAATATTTTTTAAAATTTAAAATTTAGTCTATATACTTTGTATTTACAAAATTTAGTTTTTGTATTATTTTTTTGTTGTTGAAAATCTTAGTCTCTTTTAAAGTGACTTACATTACCAATAATAAAAACTTTGACTCAAGCATTAATTGAATTTTAACTGAGTCGAGTTTAAGCAGCTCGCGAGCTGCTCAACTCAATAAGCGGCTATTGACGGTGGATTAAAAATACTCAAATAATCTTTCTAGCCTAATTTTTCTCCTTAAGCCCGAATTTAACCTCAAATTTTCCTAAAACTACTCGAATAGCCTATGTATACAAGGATAGATTGGAGTTCTATCCTAGATCTCAACATTTGATCATCGGATCAACGTGTCCTTTGAGTATGTCATAACTTGTGGTTCTTCTAATCTCTCTTCCCCCCCTCTATAGGTTTCAGCTTGCTTAGGGATCTCGATTCTATGTGGCTTGTTGGTGTAGGAGCTTAGAATCTGAGTTAGTGGTAGAGAATTTGGGTTCTTAGAGGTGTGTTTGGGTTAGGTGGTAAGTATAGCGTGGACCAAAGATTTAAATTGCGGTTGCGTAATGTTAATTGGACCTTCAATTTGTTCATCCGAATGAAATCCGGTGTCGACACATATATTAACTATTGATCCCTAGATCAAAATTGTTTGTAGTTTATAAAACCTTTTCTTAGCTGCTACATAAAGATACCCATAAATCAATAGGACGATTCCCCATTGTTTCCAAAAAGCCTGTTTTACAGATTCTTCATGTTCTCTCTCACTCGCTCTCTCTTTGTGTACACCTCAACAATATAAAGTACAGGTTCAAAACTACAGCTTTATGTAAAAAAGACTCATGATTTCCCATGCAATATTGCTAATAATATATTTGATTATATTATTGTTTTTAAAAAAACTGTTGAGGAAATCCATTTTGGCTTTCACTAAACAAGGTGGAAAAAAAGAGGCAGCACTTCAGTTCTCTTACATCCAATCGATCTAAAAGGCGATGTCTTCTCTCTTGATTAAAGCCCTACTTTTTTCCTTTCAATTATTCTAAAAGTGTTTCCCAATTCCAGATTCTGGCTGCATATACTATGACATATCTTTTACTGGATCAATAATATATCCACGCGATGCTTTAAAACGAAATTCAAAGTTTAACTATCAGATCTACTTAATTGATCGACTTACAAATAGTTATGATGTCCCTACAACTGACACACCTATTAAAGACCATCATAAATGTCTCAACTAAGATTAGAAAAAGTGATGGAACCCTCACGACCCATATATCGTCTCCTTCATCCTCCATATCAATTCTCCTCTTCATCTAAACACTAGTCAACGATCGTTCTTTTATTAGACGTAACTTTTTATCTAAATCGTAAAGGATGAACCACAACTACGGACGAGACCATCTATTTTTGAACATGTATCGATCATGGATCCATAGTCCGATGCATAAGCCAAATGGGGGTGGGGGGGGGGGGGGACCTTGGGACCCATGATACATTCAACGTCCTTAGATGATGTGCCGTTTGTAATTTGGTTGTGTCCACCATAGTTGGCCACAGTGTGTCCATTCCATCAGATAAGTCGGATCTGTTACATACGCAAGGGACCAATTCAAGAACCATTGTTCATGGATTCAACGGTTGGAGATGTATCATTCACATTTCATTCAATTTACAAACAGTCAAATACGAGTCCATGGCCAATAAGTACACGCATTAATTTAAAATCAAGTCGAGTTATAAAATGAACTCGAATAGCTTTAATTTTTAGTAATTAGTAGATTATTTTTAAGTTCGAGTCAAATCCCTCAACTCTACATAATAATATATATATATATATATATGATTATAGAAAACTGTTTAAATTAAAATCAAATAATACCACAACATTATAAATATTTACAGTTAAATTTAAACAAAAACTCGAATAACTCAACTTGATTCGACTCGAATTTCATAAACTCGATTTACTCAAAAAAGTATCAAATAAAAATTAAGTTATAAAATAAGAAGTATCAAAATCAAATTTTTTTAACTCGACTCTCCTCTCTTCTATTCGATCAAATACTCACCCCTACGTACTAACATAGTTTGCATTATCAGAGTCTAATGGTGCTTTCCAGAGGTTAGAGAGTGAAGTCAACAGTATGAGAAGCCTAAATAATTGCTGCTTTCTATTTCCAACTTCCCCTTTATTAAGCTCATTGGCTTTACCTCCCTTTCCAATGCCTTGTCTATCTCTCTCTCTCTCTTACAAATGTCTCAAGTCTTCTCAAAATCTCCCAAACATTGTGCCCAGAAAGGACTAACGATTGACAAGTCCTACAAGAAATTATTTCTTGTCTTCTCCGCATTTTCTACCATATTTTTAGCCTTCGTATTCATCATCTGGCTTATCCTTCACCCTGCAAAGCTTCAGTTCTCCCTCAGGGAAGCTGACATCTACCAACTCAATCTCTCAAGCCCTCACCTTCTCAACTCTTTCATCCAACTCACCTTGCTCTTGAGAAACCCGAATAAAAAGGACGGCCTTTACTACGACGAGTTGCAAGCTTATGCTGCATATAAAGGCCAACAGATAACTGGTGATACCTCCCTTCCACCTTTCTACCAAGGACATGGAGAAAGCAACCTGTTAACAACATCTTTACAGGGAACAGGGCTGCCTGTGGCTCCATCGTTTGGTTACGAAGTCGGACGGGACCAGACCATCGGGAGAATGGTCCTGACCCTGAAGATAAACGGGAAGCTCAGGTGGAAGGTTGGGACTTGGGTTTCAGGCCGATATCGCTTCAACGTTAACTGTGTTTCAGTTATGGCCTTTGGACCTAATGCCCCAACAGTGCCACTGTGCTCAAATCAAGCCAGTGTTCCACCGCTGTGTGAGAAGATGTTAACTAACATGTGCTTGGAAGTTATTCAGTCCATCTTTATCAGCTTTATGTTTCTGAAATGATTATTTATCAGAAAGATTCTAACATGAGGATTGTAACGGAACGAGAGATAGTCCCAACATTGCTCCGTTGTTCACTAGATATGAACGAGAGAGACCGAGAAGAAAGGTGATTGATCGATCAGATTCTAATGGGTGCTACGAAAGGCAACAGAAGGCAGGGAAATAGGTTGCTTTGGTGCTTAAGGTATAGTAAAACTCCTTGCCAGCCCTTCACCTTTAATAATTCACAGACAATTCTAGACCACAATTTTGCTAAAAAAAGAAAAAGAAAAACGATGTAGGGAGGAAAAGAAAGTGGCAGCCCTTTATGCACAATCCATCTTTTTGCAAAGGTAAGAGATCAAACGTTATTGGCACAAGACGTAGATACACTAGTTGTTTGATGCACATATTTCTGCAACTAATAATTGATTTCTACAGTGAAAATGGTGTAAATACAGACAAAATCCATTCACAATGGAAAAAGCAGAAACACTAAAGAGAGGAACTGCTTTCAAAAGTGACTAAACTTTTTAAAGGACATGAAAAGTTAGTGATTTCTCACCTAATCAGTTCCTAAAAATCTTGAACATCAAGCAACTCGGAACTTCACAAATGGTTTCTTATACGCTTAAGCTGGATCTAGTTAATGTATATTGCTGCCTATCATTCAAAGAGAGCATCACATCAAGAACTCAGTGCTTCTTTTCTCACATCAGATGTAAAACCAAACAGATATCAGCATGAAAAGTTTGCCAAAGATGTAACTTAACATCATCACTACAACTCCAGCACCATTTGAGGCTGATTTGGGAAAAACTTCTATAGGCTGGAAACCCCAAAGGCCATTCTCTAAGTTTCTGATGATACAAATCTCGCTCCCTAGGAGTGAGCAAGTTCAGTCTGAAAGTTTGAATACAAGAAAAACTTGACCAACTACACTTGCTGTCAGGAACAAAATAAATTCCTAATTAACTCGAAACCTAAAAAGAGAACTTATTCATTAAACTCTATAAGCATAAGGTTACGTTGAAGCAGAACTCCTCTCAAATCCTTATGGGAAGAAAGAATTCACTTTGCTATGAGACTTGTAACATTGTGTTGTAACTCACCAGGCTTGCAACTCTTAACAGTATATTAGATGAAATTGGGATATCAAACTATACTAACTAGAGTAATGCAGACTGCTGGTTGTCAATATCTGTAGTATTCATATTAATCATTATTTTAACTAGAGGTTTAGCAGTTAGGTTACGTTTAACCATGATGCAATGGTGGACGGACAATACTTATCAGCCAATATCATACATGAGAATAACATTCATCTCTAGATCATCCATTATGAAGTTAACACTTCGACATTTTATGATACACTCAGGAGTACACAGAGCTGAAACCAAGTCACAAGGATTAAGCTGCTCATGAAAACTTGTGCTTGAAGATAGGTTGTCTAAACGCTCAATATTACCAAATACTTTATATTTCAATCTTGTATTTCATGCTTAACAATTCACATTTCAAATGAAAGGTACATCCTGACACATCATTTCTTCTCCAGTACTAGATCAGTATTTTGACAATATGCTCATGCCATATTCACTGATTTTATCTGCTGATTACTTCAGCAATCTCAACTTCAATTGCACATGGGGACTTGAAGCTAATTTTTTTTCCATGAACAATTTGAAAAATAAAATTCCATTTTATTGTTCAAACATAACTAAAGAACCTTCATCACCAGTATCTGTAACTCGGAAGCTCTTAAAAGCAAAACAGTTATGCATATGAAACCAGAGCAGAAGAAATAAACAATCTGGTTTGCAACAATAACTTATAGTATGCAAATCAAAGCCAATATGAATTCACAAAGTCGTCGACGCAATCACAAATGCCTTCAAATAACAAAATAATAACAATTGAGGCTCTAGAGTTGAACCATAACTAAAGAATGAAGCAAGGAATTCATTCGTTTTCGTTACAAGGTTACATAAAGAGTTCAAGTATTCCTTTTTTTCACTACAGAAAGATTAATTCTTTACCAGCATCTCAGCTTCAGCATCAAATACCAAGAAAAAAAAGTGAAATAATCTTTATTAATTCCAAGTAATTTCAACCAAGATTCCGCATCCATCAGTGGATATTCAGGAGCAAAGAGAATCAGAACTAACCCATTGCCAGTAATGCTTCCTTACAGACACAGCTTTCTCCAATCCTCTTGCCCCATCAGAATCCTCATACTCTTCCTTTTCTTCAGTAAAAAATCTTCCTCAGGAAAACCTTCCACCCACGCGTCCACCGAATGTAAAACATAACGCGCCGGCAAACCCGGATACGACACCGAATTCCGCTCCTCCAGTTTCTTTCTATAAGATCCCGGCACAATTCTCACTACCCCAGAATCAACAACCGAACCAAGCTCCTCTTTTACTGCACGAACAACGGCTTCTTCGGTAGTTTCATGGGGTTTCATTTTCTCGGACAACGGTCTAAACCGATCCCTAACACTACCATCCGATAATTCATGTCGAGATTCAACGAGGACGAGGTTATCTTTACCGAGTATACGAACCGTAACGACATTAACGGTACGAAGTGGAGGGGAGGAATCCAGAAGCGATATCTCGCCTTCAGAGAGTTCCAGCCAGAGATTGTGGACGTTTTTGGTTCCAGGTTTGACACCCCACGAAGCCAGCGACTCAGAAGGCAACCGGGGCTTGAGCCAATCAGAGAGAGCCTGTGGGGTTGGAAAAGGGGACCCTGGAGTTAGACATGGTGGGTGTTTTGAGGAACCGGCGTGGGTTTGGGGGAAAAGGAAGGAACTTGGGGAAGAAGGTATGGTTTGTTTTGGGGGAAGAGAAGAGAAAAAACAGGGAAATTGCGGTAAAGAACAGGTCAGGGAGAGTAGGTGTAGATTTGGCAAGACCCAAGTTTGGTTTAATGTTATTTTGGGGAATCTTTAATGATTCTGGTGTTCTTGACATGATAATGACAACGACTCCTGTTGCAGGAATGGTCTGTTTATGTATGAGGAAGATGAGTTGCAATGGTTTGCAGAGGATGATCAATCAACATTTTCATTACCAGCAACAAAATTGGAGCACAAGAATACAAAAGGTTTTGCCGTGGAAAATAAGTGGTTGGAAATGGCGGGAGAATTTCAGATGGATCAGATTATTCCGTGGCATAATTCCTAAGACCCACCGTCACGGTTCAACTCGCGATTCTTCTGTTTATGATCCAACAGTTTGCCATGTATGTACATAAGAGGTCTATATAAGTTGGGTCCAAATCAATCTATACCGGGTGTTTTTTTTTCCTCCCGATTCTCTAAGATTTTTCTCTTTCTGATTAACCTATATCATAAATTTGGACTTTATTTTAATAAATGCGTCTACTAACAAATTTTTTCTGCATACACATTATTTCAAACTCAAAACATATTTAATAATAATAGAAAATATCTGATTTCATGAAATTTTCCTACCATTTAAAATATGATGAAGTTTTTAATGATTCAATACGAAGAAATTTTGATATCACTTATAAGTAAAACTTAATTCATATAAAATCAAAAATTCAAGATTTATCATATCAAATCATGAAGAATAAATTATTATATGCGAGAAACATACCTAAATTAATTAATAGGTTGTAACCTTAAAAACTCTCAGAAGAGTAATACAAATTAATCTATTTTTTGGGGACCATTATCTCTTTCTATAGATTGCATATTTGGTCTTTCTTCTAAGTATTTATAGTTCTACTCCTATCAAATTATAAATATAATTTATGGTATTTACACTTTAATTTTATGACACTTTAATACCTATGACACATGCAACATATTTAGTCATTTAATTTTGCATCATACCTTTTTCTCTTGGTTGAAGCGGCGACACCAACTTTTTTGTTGGTTGTTGGCGGCGGCGTTTATTTTTTTCCTTTAATTTTTATATTACACCTTTGTTTTTGTTTAATTTTTAATAATCATACCTTTATGATACGTTTTTATATGTTTTTATAACACATTTTCAGTGTTTGTCCTGTTTTAGTTTAACTTTTTTTTCAAGATTATATTTGACATTGTCACGAATAATCAATATGACGCTTATTTATTATCATATTGGTGTTCTCTGTTTTGGATCATCAAATTGAATTTAGTGTATTTCTTGTTGTTTGTTAGAAAATTAATAAATTACTAATAATTACTAATTAGTAATTTGGTATCTTTTTTATTATTTACAAGTAAATTGATAATTATTAATTAGATTTTTTAATAGAATAATTTTTAAGATAATTACTAAAATATTATTAAAAAATTTAACGAATTGCTCGTGAGCTTATCGAGTCGAATTGAACCTCACTCGACTCAACTTGTTAAGGTCTTGAATTAAACTCGAGTTCGAATCGAGTCAATCTGAATCAAACGTTGATCAAATTTTAACTCTCGTATTTAAATAACTCATAAACTGTTGAACTCGTTATACACTCCTATCGATGACCAATTTTGGTCATGTCTCAAGACCATTTCCATCGTATTGCACCTCAATTTTTGGTGTAAATGGGTGAGCCATGGTCAACCCTCTAAATCGTAACTTACAGTATACTAATACGTAACCTTTTCTCCTTTAAAACTCTGCAGCATCCATTTCAGATCTTCGCGTATGTTGGCAGTCTTGTTAACCACTAACAAGGTTAAATGTAATTCAGAACTTCGTGTATGTTGGCACTTGGGAATAAAGTCGAACTACAATTGTTAATGATTTCATGATATCAAATTTTTAAGGGTAAAATATATGAATAATACATTATTATAGGACGTTATTTTGTTGAGTCATTGATTATTAAAAGTTATAAAATGATCAACCGATTATTCATATGTTTTAAACTTATCTTTTCTGTTAAAAATTTGATGGTAGTCTAAGTTGTACGTTAGCTTGCAGACTTAGATATGTTAAAAATATGATCTTAAAATCTCAAATGATTATTATATCTCAATCAACATGTTAACCTTCAGTTCA